GCAGGAGGCCAGTCCCTGTGCTCCTCAGAGTCCCAGCAGGAGGCCAGTCCCTGTGCTCCTCAGAGTCCCAGCAGGAGGCCAGTCCCTGTGCTCCTTAGAGTCCCAGCAGGAGGCCAGTCCCTGTGCTCCTCAGAGTCCCAGCAGGAGGCCAGTCCCTGTGCTCCTCAGAGTCCCAGCAGGAGGCCAGTCCCTGTGGACACTCCTCTTCAGCTTCTTCTTTGGAGATAAATTCCTGTCATAAATATTCTTCTCTCAACAGTTACTTTAGACTCTGCTTCTCGACAATCAGTTATTTTGTATTTTTCTCACATTTGAGAAAAGCGGCGGCGTTTGGTGAAGTCTTGAACCTTTTCTGTCATAAATACGAATGAGACGTTGAATATGTAACGTTCACATTCAGAGCTGAGCTGAAGGTCGAGATCTGAGCCTCAGGATTCTGGCTCCGCCCACTTCTCTCTCTTTAGACTTTATCATGTCACGATTCCAACGCTACGGCTCAGTCACTCTTTCACACCAGGACAACTATTCTGAAACTAGTCTCAGTCTCAGTCCTGGGTCTACAGCCTCAGTCCTGGGTCTACAGTCTCAGTCCTGGGTCTACAGCCTCGGTCCTGGGTCTACAGCCTCAGTCCTGGGTCTACAGCCTCAGTCCTGGGTCTACAGCCTCGGTCCTGGGTCTACAGCCTCGGTCCTGGGTCTACAGTCTCAGTCCTGGGTCTACAGCCTCGGTCCTGGGTCTACAGCCTCGGTCCTGGGTCTACAGCCTCGGTCCTGGGTCTACAGCCTCGGTCCTGGGTCTACAGCCTTGGTCCTGGGTCTACAGTCTCAGTCCTGGGTCTACAGCCTCGGTCCTGGGTCTACAGCCTCGGTCCTGGGTCTACAGCCTCGGTCCTGGGTCTACAGCCTCGGTCCTGGGTCTACAGCCTCAGTCCTGGGTCTACAGCCTCAGTCCTGGGTCTACAGCCTCAGTCCTGGGTCTACAGCCTCAGTCCTGGGTCTACAGCCTCAGTCCTGGGTCTACAGCCTCAGTCCTGGGTCTACAGCCTCAGTCCTGGGTCTACAGCCTCAGTCATGGCTAAAACTGGTTAATGAAAGTTAAAATACAGCAGCAACAGTTTGTTGAAATTCTTCCAAATGCCAAGTGCTGATAGTAAGCTGTGTTGCTATGGTAACGAAGACTGGCAAGTCAGGACCAGACCAGGACCAGGACTAGACCAGTATCAGTCCAGGACCAGCACCATGAAAAAGGCTTTAACTGTCAAAGAATAAAAGATCATTTTATAAAAAGAAAATTATACATGAATAAAATAAACTTTAAAACAGAAAAGGTCACAACTATGTTCATAACAGTCATTACCTGCTCTGGACCGGTCCTGGACTGGTCCTGGACTGGTGCTGGACTGGTGCTGGACTGGTGCTGGACTGGTGCTGGACTGGTCCTGGACTGGTCCTGGACTGGTGCTGGACTGGTCCTGGACTGGTCCTGGACTGGTGCTGGACTGGTGCTGGACTGGTGCTGGACTGGTGCTGGACTGGTGCTGGACTGGTCCTGGACTGGTCCTGGACTGGTCCTGGACTGGTGCTGGACTGGTGCTGGACTGGTGCTGGACTGGTGCTGGACTGGTCCTGGACTGGTGCTGGACTGGTCCTGGACTGGTCCTGGACTGGTGCTGGACTGGTGCTGGACTGGTGCTGGACTGGTCCTGGACTGGTGCTGGACTGGTGCTGGACTGGTGCTGGACTGGTCCTGGACTGGTCCTGGACTGGTGCTGGACTGTTCAGTTGGATCTAAGTCTAACATGTCGTGGTGTTAGCCTGAGACCAAAGTAATGAGGCAGAAGTTCCTTAAGTTTGGAACAATGATGTAAGATCACACATAATGGTAGTAAACCATGTGCAGACACCATGTGTTCTTTAATTAGACGTTTGCAGTTGATCCAAATGTTTAATTCTGACCCGTGTTTGTCGTTGATTGTTCTTAGAGCAGACTCTCGCATAATAAGTCTTCATTAAATCCTTTAAGGGAGCGGTTTCTCTCGCTCTGTGCGTAAAGTGCTCTTTTATATTGGTCTTTTTGACAGGTTCTGCAGAAACAATAACTAATACTTCTCTGACTAATGCAGGAAGCGTCTGGGGAGGTGGAAGTACACTGTCTGCCGCGAACAGACGAGTTATTTCTCATTGTTTCTTGTCCCTCTTTATCCCGAGGCATCTCTTACACGCCGCCCTATTGTTTCAGATATGTTTTCAGCAGCTGTCAGGAACCAGCTGAATAATGGCCAAGTGAATCTGCACAAACTAAATAATGAACGCCATTAAAATGCTTCTTTTGTCAGAGACGGAGCCTGTGGCAAACAGCACCCACTTTCCTTTCACTGTTCTGCACAAAAGGTTAGAGCTACACGCTGGGCTCGGGACCTCAGCTGCAGCTCTGAGGTCCTCACCCGGTCTCTGCGGGACCGCCACGCTGCTCCATTCTATTCTATTCTATTCCATGTGTTCATGTGTCGCCATAAATCACAACAGTATTTATCTCTGAGGACTTCACAAAGATGTCAATTCACCACCACAGATCAGAGAATCAAACAGTCCAAACACAGACTGAGGCTGTAGACCCAGGACTGAGGCTGTAGACCCAGGACTGAGACCCAGGACTGAGGCTGTAGACCCAGGACTGAGGCTGTAGACCCAGGACTGAGAGGCTGAGGTCCTTCTGAGGAGGCTGAGGTCCTTCGGAGTGAGCAGGCCTCTGCTCAGGACTTTTTATGACTCTGTGGTAGCCTCAGCCATACATTACGCTGCCGTGTGCTGGACCCCGGGCAGCACAGAGTGGGACAGAAACAGACTGAACAAGCTGGTCAGGAGGAGGTGAGGGACAGGAGGCCCCTGGACTCTGTGGAGGAGGTGAGGGACAGGAGGCCCCTGGACTCTGTGGAGGAGGTGAGGGACAGGAGGCCCCTGGACTCTGTGGAGGAGGTGAGGGACAGGAGGCCCCTGGACTCTGTGGAGGAGGTGAGGGACAGGAGGCCCCTGGACTCTGTGGAGGAGGTGAGGGACAGGAGGCCCCTGGACTCTGTGGAGGAGGTGAGGGACAGGAGGTGCTAGCCAAAGCCACCTCCATCATGAACAACACCTCCCACTGCACAGGACTGAGGAGGAGCTGAGGAGCTCCTTCAGTGGAAGACTGAGGCACCCTCAGTGTAGGAAGGAGCAGGGCCTTTATCCCCACCGCTGTCAGACTGTACAATAAGTCACATTAAGTCACTGTATATGACTGAAAAGAAACCTGCTCTACTATTGACACTTTTTTTGTACATAATAAATCCTGCTTTAACACGCTGCACATTTCTGACTTCTGCACATTTCTGACTTCTGCACATTTCTGACTTCTGCACATTTCTGACTTCTGCACATTTCTTACTTCTGCACATTTCTGACTTCTGCACATTTCTTACTTCTGCATATTTCTTACTTCTGCACATTTCTTACTTCTGCACATTTCTTACTTCTGCACATTTCTGACTTCTGCATATTTCTGACTTCTGCACATTTCTGACTTCTGCATATTTCTTACTTCTGCACATTTCTTACTTCTGCATATTTCTTACTTCTGCACATTTCTGACTTCTGCATATTTCTTACTTCTGCATATTTCTTACTTCTGCACATTTCTGACTTCTGCATATTTCTGACTTCTGCACATTTCTGACTTCTGCACATTTCTTACTTCTGCATATTTCTGACTTCTGCACATTTCTGACTTCTGCATATTTCTGACTTCTGCACATTTCTTACTTCTGCACATTTCTTACTTCTGCACATTTCTTACTTCTGCACATTTCTGACTTCTGCACATTTCTGACTTCTGCATATTTCTGACTTCTGCACATTTCTGACTTCTGCATATTTCTGACTTCTGCACATTTCTGACTTCTGCACATTTCTGACTTCTGCACATTTCTTACTTCTGCACATTTCTTACTTCTGCACATTTCTTACTTCTGCACATTTCTGACTTCTGCACATTTCTTACTTCTGCACATTTCTGACTTCTGCACATTTCTGACTTCTGCACATTTCTTACTTCTGCATATTTCTGACTTCTGCATATTTCTTACTTCTGCATATTTCTTACTTCTGCATATTTCTTACTTCTGCACATTTCTTACTTCTGCACATTTCTTACTTCTGCACATTTCTGACTTCTGCACATTTCTGACTTCTGCACATTTCTGACTTCTGCACATTTCTGACTTCTGCACATTTCTTACTTCTGCACATTTCTTACTTCTGCACATTTCTGACTTCTGCACATTTCTGACTTCTGCACATTTCTGACTTCTGCATATTTCTTACTTCTGCATATTTCTTACTTCTGCATATTTCTTACTTCTGCACATTTCTTACTTCTGCACATTTCTTACTTCTGCACATTTCTGACTTCTGCACATTTCTGACTTCTGCACATTTCTGACTTCTGCACATTTCTTACTTCTGCACATTTCTGACTTCTGCATATTTCTGACTTCTGCATATTTCTTACTTCTGCATATTTCTTACTTCTGCATATTTCTTACTTCTGCACATTTCTTACTTCTGCATATTTCTTACTTCTGCACATTTCTTACTTCTGCACATTTCTGACTTCTGCACATTTCTTACTTCTGCACATTTCTGACTTCTGCACATTTCTGACTTCTGCATATTTCTTACTTCTGCACATTTCTGACTTCTGCACATTTCTCGAGTGTTCCTGTCCTTGCCAAGGGACAGACTGAGGCAGCTCAACAGGCAGGGTGAGGGTGCAGCCCACTGGTCCAGACCAGAGGAGACAGTCCAGAGGTACAGATGCTGGAGGCCGGGTTCAGGGGTCCCATCATCACACCATGAAACAGACAATGGGACAGCGGCTGAATAGCAATGAACAGACTAATGGTCATGATGGAGACAGATAAAGTAGAGTGAATATAAAATGCTGATGTTGTTGTTCTCAGGTCATCATGGTGACCGGGGACCACCCCATCACGGCCAAAGCCATCGCCAAAGGCGTCGGCATCATCTCCGAGGGCAACGAGACGGTGGACGACATCGCCGAGAGACTCAACATCCCCCTGAGCGAAGTCGACCCCAGGTCTGAACTAACACTGACGATACGGTCCTGGTCCTGGTCCAGTACCACACAGACTCACAGAACCACAGCAGCAGGTCCTGGTCCAGTACCTCACAGACTCACAGAACCACAGCAGCAGGTCCAGGTCCAGTACCACACAGACTCACAGCAGGTCCAGGTCCAGTACCACACAGAACCACAGCAGCAGGTCCAGGTCCAGTACCACACAGACTCACAGAACCACAGCAGCAGGTACAGTACCACACAGACTCACAGAACCACAGCAGCAGGTACAGTACCACACAGACTCACAGAACCACAGCAGCAGGTCCAGGTCCAGTACCACACAGACTCACAGAACCACAGCAGCAGGTACAGTACCACACAGACTCACAGAACCACAGCAGCAGGTCCAGGTCCAGTACCACACAGACTCACAGAACCACAGCAGCAGGTCCAGTACCACACAGACTCACAGAACCACAGCAGCAGGTCCAGGTCCAGTACCACACAGACTCACAGAACCACAGCAGCAGGTCCAGTTCCAGTACCACACAGACTCACAGAACCACAGCAGCAGGTCCAGGTCCAGTACCACACAGACTCACAGAACCACAGCAGCAGGTCCAGGTCCAGTACCACACAGACTCACAGAACCACAGCAGCAGGTCCAGGTCCAGTACCACACAGACTCACAGAACCACAGCAGCAGGTCCAGGTACAGTACCACACAGACTCACAGAACCACAGCAGCAGGTCCAGGTCCAGTACCACACAGACTCACAGAACCACAGCAGCAGGTCCAGGTCCAGTACCACACAGACTCACAGAACCACAGCAGCAGGTCCAGGTCCAGTACCACACAGACTCACAGAACCACAGCAGCAGGTCCAGGTCCAGTACCACACAGACTCACAGAACCACAGCAGCAGGTCCAGGTCCAGTACCACACAGACTCACAGAACCACAGCAGCAGGTCCAGGTCCAGTACCACACAGACTCACAGAACCACAGCAGCAGGTCCAGGTCCAGTACCACAGAATCAAACCGTTCAAACACTTTGGTCCATCAGGGACAGAAACCAAAGTCCTTTAAAGTAGTTGAGTTCTGCAGAGATCCTTTTCCACGGCTCTTGGTTCCATGAGTCACTCAGATGGCTACAGTTAGCCTGGGAACTGGAGCTAGCCGTGAACGTTTAGCGACCTTTTCTGTACCTAACAATCAGGGCTCCAACCCCAGGCCTGGCTCCAGGGTGGGGCCCCGGCTGCACCACACCGAGCGACGACACAGATATCACGTTTGTGCATAAATTATATTATAATACGAACATGGAACGCATCTATATTTGACAATAACATGGCGTCACACAACCTCTAACGATAAACTCTGTGTTTTCATTCAGAAACAGTAACATCTGTGGCTGCATGTATATTTATCTTTACATTATGCCTTCCCTGCTCTTTCTTCACCTCTCCCTCTGCTCCCACGACTGTATCTGCTGTTTGCATATGATCCACACGCCGCTGCAGCCGCATGTGACAGAGGGTCTATAGGAGCAAACAGCCCAACACTGAAATGCCAGCTCTCTCTCTCTGCATAATTGGCCTCCTCCGCCGGGCGCCTGCACTGCTCTCCCCTCACACTCTGCTTCATTTTTAATCTTATTTGTTGTGTTTCCTCCGCAGGGAGGCCAAGGCCTGTGTGGTGCACGGGTCAGACCTGAAGGACATGAGTGCGGAGGGTCTGGACGAGCTCCTGAGGCACCACACCGAGATCGTGTTCGCTCGCACCTCGCCCCAACAGAAGCTCATTATCGTGGAGGGGTGCCAGAGACAGGTCAGGGGGGAGGCAGGGGGGGGGCAGGGGGAGGGGGCAAAGGATCCACCGGGGAGTCTCTGAGCTAACACTGTGATCAGTAATGTGTCATAGAGGACAGAACATGCAAACTTAACTTGTTGTTTTCCCTGAACTTAATGAACACTTCTAAGTCGTTAAAGTAAAAATACGGTCTCAGAAATAGATCTCAAACTAGTTCTAGCTCACAGCTGCTTGGTCTTTGTGATTCTAACTCCAACCGCCAACCATGGATCTATCATAATAACTGGATAGAGTATTACTAGCTTACAGCTGTCCCACCTATGGACACAGGGGGCGCTGTGGTACTGCAGACTACATTAACGAGGGCAACCCGGAAAAAAGTCCCATAGAACTCAATGTAAACTATAAACAGCTCGACCTCAGCTGACAGAGAACCTGACAGAGAACCTACAGAGAACCTGACTGAGAACCTGACAGAGAACCTACAGCTTTCACAAAGATCAGATTTTGTGTGGATGTTAGTGTCCCTTGTCGTCCTGAACTTTTTTTCTTCTTAAATCCTTCAGTTTTCTTTAAATCCACACTTTACTGCCACAAACTCTGCTCCTTTCCTTCCCGCTCTGACTCCGCTCTACCGCTGCTCTGATTGGTCAGAACTCTGAGTTCGCACACACGTATTTGGCGCAAAGCATCATGGGAGCTCGTCCGCTGCGCAGAACCGAGAGGACCAGACGTTGCCCAAATATGGGAGAGTTCTGCTAATCTCTCGGTCTCCGTGGAGTCCCATGAACTACTGAGCACAAACCCTTCATCTGAATAAGGCGCCATCTTGGATCACCGGGGCTTGCCGCCAACGTATCAACGCAGCGTCCACAGAAGTGATGGGCGGGCTTTGATGCTAACGAATTTAAGCTAGTTCTTGAACACGAGATCCTCCAGAGACAGAGCTGCACCATGGATCTATTACATCTTTAACCAGTACTTTCATATCGACGAACACGTTAGCAGCACGGCTAACGTGAGGTTAGAATGAGAACTCAGGGTGAAGACATGTCCACACGCACTTTGGAAACCAGATGCAGAGGTCTGAGCTGCAGACTGAGCATTTCTATAAGATGTTCTGGACTCACATATCTGCAGTCTTTCAAACTGCATTCTTCTATTCAATATGTCACCCTTGAAAATGTCAACACAACTGGAAGATGTTGATGTAGTAGTAAGTAAGTAAGTAAGTAATTATTTATATACCGCCTTTTCACTGCAGAGCTGAGTCTCAAAGCGGTTTACAATTGCTATTTTTTTGGGCATTTGTCTCTCACTCCACACAGAGATGGGAGCGGGGTCAGTACAGGAGGCGCATGCCAGAACTATTGGACATATTTTTAGCAGTAGGGGAAACCGGAGTACCCGGAGGAAACCTACGCAGACACGGGGAGAACATGCAAACTCCACTCAGAAAGGCCCTGGTCCGACCGGGATTCGAACCCAGGACCTTCTTGCTGAGAGGCGAGAGTGCTATCCACTCAGCCACCGTGCCGCCCACGATGTATTTTGCTCAAAGCGTCTGTTTATGAAGTAGAAATGAGTGAATCCTGACTGAGCAGCAGGACACAGTAAATGTGTATATATTGGTATAAAACTCATGTTTCTTTGGCTGCATTAGTATCAGAGGAAACTGCAGGAGAGAGTGGACAGTTGGATGTTTTGGCCGATGCTGGACACGATAATGAGGAGAAACCAGGAAGTTATATTTACTGCAGAAACAAAGAGAAGAATAGTCCAGACGCTGCAGCCCTGTGAGAATGCTAAGGCTAGAGATATTACTACTGTATATTCTGGTATAGAGCTATTGTTCGCTTCTGTAACTGGTGATGCAACACTGACATCAGAGAGACCTATTGTAGGGGAACCCGGAGCACCTGGAGGAAACCTACACAGACACAGGTAGAACATGCAAACTCCACACAGAGAGGTCTGGAGGTGGAATCAAACCCAGGATAAAGGATCTCTCTCTAACACTTGTGTCACTGTATATTTTCAATTCCTTTTCATGGACTGAAAAATAACAGTGAAAAATAGATTATTTTCAGTTATTTTGGTTTTTCTCTTTTCAAACCGAGGTCTGATTAAAAGAAGCGCGTCTCGTCTGTGAAGCCGTGACCTCAGTTTGCGACAGGAGTTTATGAGGAGCAAAATATATGATTCTATGAAAGTCTAATATTTGTCTGTGTGTGTGCCTGTGTCTTTGTGTGTGTGTGTGTGTGTTTGTGTGTGAGTGTGTCTCTGTATCTGTGTGTGTGTGTGTGTGCCTGTGTCTTTGTGTGTGTGTGTTTGTGTGTGTGTGTGTTTGTGTGTGAGTGTGTCTCTGTATCTGTGTGTGTGTGTGTGTGCCTGTGTCTTTGTGTGTGTGTGTTTGTGTGTGTGTGTGTGTTTGTGTGAGTGTGTGCCTGTGTCTTTGTGTGTGTGTGTTTGTGTGTGAGTGTGTCTCTGTATCTGTGTGCACTTGTTTTCAACTCCTGGTGGGTTCCATAACCTGAGATTCCACTCACGTCATGGGGACTGGTTTTACGTGGTGGGGCCCGAACACCGGACCCCACTGGTCCAAGCTTAATAATCAATGGGTAATGCTTTTCTAACGGTCCTTATGCAGTCTCTGTAAAAATATGGAAAGGACCCCTGGAGGTTTACTTTCCTGAAAAAAGTGTGTTATGTGTCGGAACCCTGGTGGTGGGTTGCGGGATATCAAGGAGGGGCACACTGGGGCAATTTCAGTCCAGCAGGCTGGAGCCAATCATGGAGCAGCACAACAGAGGAAATCAGGTGTCAGGCTAGAAAAAGGTGCAAGTGTGTGGTTCATTAGGCTGCAAGAAATCATGGAGGAGCACACTGAAGCGCACGCTTACAAACCACTGGTAAGTGCTGACTACAAGTCATGACTTCAAATTGTTATATAGAATGATTACAAATGATTTGTTGTTTGTGCAGCTTAGTCAAGAGTCCCTAATTGATGAAGTCGACTCAGATTCTGACGATTTAACTGTCAAGAAGAAACCTGTAAAAAAGTATGGAAAAAGAAAAATCAAAAACACTTTTCTTCAAGACTCGGAAAGTGACGAACCAAAGGCAAATAAGATTGTTATCATGCAGCTGCAAAAGAAGAAAAATGGGGGGCGAGTATACAGCAAGAGACACTTCTGCCTCTACTGTTCAATGTCCTGCCACAAAATGTCCCGTCATTTGACTAGAAAACATGGAAATGAAAGTGACGTAGCCAGAGCATTGGCTCTACCTGTGAAATCTAAAGCACGTAAACTTCAGTTTGATTTGATCAGGAATAGTGGAAACCGTGAGCACAATTTTGAGGTTTTAAAGGCCGGCATTGGAACTTTAGTCCCAGCTAAACAGCCAAATTCCCCAGTTAAATCCAGTGAGTTTTTGCACTGTATAGACTGTGGGGCATTGCTTAAGCGAAAGTCGCTGTGGAGGCATGTGGCCAGGTGCCGGCTTTCACAGAAAGATGCCCAGGCTAAACCAGGCTAAACCAGGCTAAACCAGGTAGAAGTAGGGTCCAGTCCCTCTGCTCCCTAGCCCAGCCTGTACCGGAGGGCATCAGCAAAAAGCTGTGGTCTTTAATTTCGGCAATGCATCAGGATGAGGTCACGGGTGTTGTCAAAGCAGAAAAGGGGATTCTGAGACTCGGAGAGCACCTGTACTTAAAACACGGGCATGATAAGACTAAGCATGATTACATTAGGCAGAAAATGAGAGAAGTCGGTAGGTTAATTAACGAAGCAAAAACTGCAGGGAAACTGAAAACAATTAAGGATTTCTTTATTCCTTCCAACTTTAACCATGTGATTGATGCAGTCAGGTCTGTGGCTGGATATGATGAGGAAACAAATCAATACAAGACTCCATCCTTGGCCCTCAAACTCGGCCATAGCCTCAGAAAGCTAGCAGATATTCTTGAATGTGACTCAAAAATGGAGCATTGTGTTGATGAACTATTTATTAAAAACCTCCAACGAAGCCGGCTGCTTTTTGAGAAGAGGTGGGACGTCTGTGTTTCTTCTGCTGCCCTACAGACCCTCCGGCAAGCCAAGTGGAACACTCCGGACCTGCTCCCTCTGACTGAGGACGTTAGAGCCATGCATGCACATATTGAGGTATGTCGACCTGAATATGTGCAAACCCTAATAAGTGAGCCAACGTCTAAGCATTGGTCTAAACTGGCAGTTTTGACTCTTTGTGAGGTCATCATTTTCAATCGAAGAAGGGAAGGTGAGGTTTCAAAGATGCCACTGACAGCCTTTACCTTAAGAAGTAAGACTGGGATCCATTCTGACATTGCTCTGGGACTGTCCCAACTTGAGAAAAAGCTGTGTCAGCATTTTCAACGCATTGAAATTAAAGGGAAAAGAAGTCGGAAAGTGCCGGTTCTTTTGACTCCTGAAATGATTGCTTCGATGGAGGTGCTGGTGGAGAACAGAAGGGCCTGTTCCATCTCTGACCATAACCCATACTTCTTTTCCCGCCCGGGCGCAGACACCCACATCAGGGGATCAGACTCCCTACGCCAGGTAGCCAAAGAATGTGGTGCGGTGCATCCAGAGATGCTATCCTCAACCAAACTTAGAAAGCACATAGCTACTATGTCTACAGTTCTCAATATGAAAGAGAATGAGATGGACATACTTGCCAACTTCCTCGGCCATGACATTCGCATCCACAGGCAATATTACAGACTACCAGAGGGGACACTGGAGCTGGCCAAAATCAGCAAAGTGTTGATGGCCATGGAGCAGGGAAGAGTGACGGAATTCGAAGGAAAGAGCCTCGACCAGATACAAATTGAGCCTGAAGGTAATTCTTGATATTATTAAAATATGTATGATTTTTTTCCCCTAAAGGCCACTTGTATTTTTATTTTCTGTGCGACAGGGAGAGCAGTAGAGATCCTCTCACAAACGGACGGGCTAAAAGAAACTTCAAGCGGAGAACCTTCAACCATTCATCCAGATGCACCCCATGGTAGTGGCAGTGCCCCTTCTGGTAAGTGTAACAGGTGGGGGATTACAGCCAGGCTGCTTGGTCCTCACCCTGGGAGTGTATATTGCTAATATATTTTTATTTCTCTCCCTAGAACGTGTAAGAAAGCCATGGTCTGCATCTGAGGTGAAGGCTGTGGAGAAGACCATGACACCTTTCATACAGACTGGAAAGGTCCCTGGGAAGTCTCACTGCCTGGCCTGGCCTGGCCTGGCCTGCATTAATGCCTCACCAGATGACCTTAGACATCGGACATGGAGTGGCATTAAATTCTATGTCAAAAATATAGAATCACTGCAATTCGAAAACAAAATCTAAAATAAAATTCCTTTAAAATAGTTGTTTGGTTTCTATTGACTGTTTTGTATTACTTAAAGTCTTGGTAAAAAAAGGTTATGTCTATGGGTCCCATTCTGAACGGCCCTGTCAAAGGGACCCACCAGGTAACAAAAACGTGTATGTGTGTGTGTGTGTGTGTGTTACGTGTGTGTGTGTGTGTAGGGAGCCATCGTGGCGGTGACAGGAGACGGTGTGAACGACTCTCCGGCTCTGAAGAAGGCAGACATTGGCGTTGCCATGGGGATCACCGGCTCAGACGTGTCCAAACAGGCCGCAGACATGATCCTTCTGGACGATAACTTCGCCTCCATCGTCACCGGAGTCGAGGAGGGTGAGAGTTTAGGATTCAGAATAATTACATTGTTCTCATTTAAAAGATCAATTAGGATCAGATCAAACTTCATCGATCTCAGACACGTTACATTTGGCATCAGTAGGATCAGTGTCGGTCTGGGACAGGAAACAGGAAGTGGGCAACATGTTAAAAATCTATAGAACACATGTTGATAAGTGTTCATACATGTTGTAGTTCATACATGTTACACGCCAGCATCAGAGGAAAAACTCAAAAAAAAAAGTGAGAATCCTCGAGAAGATCCACATCGAGAGAGGGATCCAGTCCACACGGACGGACGGGCTGTAGATCCAGGACTCAGACTGTAGAACGAGGACTGAGGCTGTAGATCCAGGAGTCAGACTGTAGAACGAGGACTGAGGCTGTAGATCCAGGAGTCAGACTGTAGAACGAGGACTGAGGCTGTAGATCCAGGAGTCAGACTGTAGAACGAGGACTGAGGCTGTAGATCCAGGAGTCAGACTGTACGGTCAGTTAGCATCACTGTCGGTCAGTTAGCATCACTGTCGGTCAGTTAGCATCACTGTCGGTCAGTTAGCATCACTGTCGGTCAGTTAGCATCACTGTCGGTCAGTTAGCATCACTGTCGGTCAGTTAGCATCACTGTCGGTCAGTTAGCATCACTGTCGGTCAGTTAGCATCACTGTCGGTCAGTTAGCATCACTGTCGGTCAGTTAGCATCACTGTCGGTCAGTTAGCATCACTGTCGGTCAGTTCATCACTGTCGGTCAGTTAGCATCACTGTCGGTCAGTTAGCATCACTGTCGGTCAGTTAGCATCACTGTCGGTCAGTTAGCATCACTGTCGGTCAGTTAGCATCACTGTCGGTCAGTTAGCATCACTGTCGGTCAGTTAGCATCACTGTCGGTCAGTTAGCATCACTGTCGGTCAGTTAGCATCACTGTCGGTCAGTTAGCATCACTGTCGGTCAGTTAGCATCACTGTCGGTCAGTTAGCAATCACTGTCGGTCAGTTAGCATCACTGTCGGTCAGTTAGCATCACTGTCGGTCAGTTAGCATCACTGTCGGTCAGTTAGCATCACTGTCGGTCAGTTAGCATCACTGTCGGTCAGTTAGCATCACTGTCGGTCAGTTAGCATCACTGTCGGTCAGTTAGCATCACTGTCGGTCAGTTAGCATCACTGTCGGTCAGTTAGCATCACTGTCGGTCAGTTAGCATCACTGTCGGTCAGTTAGCATCACTGTCAGTTAGCATCACTGTCGGTCAGTTAGCATCACTGTCGGTCAGTTAGCATCACTGTCGGTCAGTTAGCATCACTGTCGGTCAGTTAGCATCACTGTCGGTCAGTTAGCATCACTGTCGGTCAGTTAGCATCACTGTCGGTCAGTTAGCATCACTGTCGGTCAGTTAGCATCACTGTCGGTCAGTTAGCAGCACTGTCGGTCAGTTAGCATCACTGTCGGTCAGTTAGCATCACTGTCGGTCAGTTAGCATCACTGTCGGTCAGTTAGCATCACTGTCGGTCAGTTAGCATCACTGTCGGTCAGTTAGCATCACTGTCGGTCAGTTAGCATCACTGTCGGTCAGTTAGCATCACTGTCGGTCAGTTAGCATCACTGTCGGTCAGTTAGCATCACTGTCGGTCAGTTAGCATCACTGTCGGTCAGTTAGCATCACTGTCGGTCAGTTAGCATCACTGTCGGTCAGTTAGCATCACTGTCGGTCAGTTAGCAGCACTGTCAGTCAGTTAGCATCACTGTCGGTCAGTTAGCATCACTGTCGGTCAGTTAGCATCACTGTCGGTCAGTTAGCATCACTGTCGGTCAGTTAGCATCACTGTCGGTCAGTTAGCATCACTGTCAGTCAGTTAGCATCACTGTCGGTCAGTTAGCATCACTGTCGGTCAGTTAGCATCACTGTCGGTCAGTTAGCATCACTGTCGGTCAGTTAGCATCACTGTCGGTCAGTTAGCATCACTGTCGGTCAGTTAGCATCACTGTCGGTCAGTTAGCATCACTGTCGGTCAGTTAGCATCACTGTCGGTCAGTTAGCATCACTGTCGGTCAGTTAGCACATGTCAGTTAGCACTGTCGGTCAGTTAGCATCACTGTCGTCAGTTAGCAGCACTGTCGGTCAGTTAGCATCACTGTCGGTCAGTTAGCAGCACTGTCGGTCAGTTAGCATCACTGTCGGTCAGTTAGCAGCACTGTCGGTCAGTTAGCATCACTGTCGGTCAGTTAGCATCACTGTCGGTCAGTTAGCATCACTGTCGGTCAGTTAGCATCACTGTCGGTCAGTTAGCATCACTGTCGGTCGGTTAGCATCACTGTCGGTCAGTTAGCATCACTGTCGGTCAGTTAGCATCACTGTCGGTCAGTTAGCATCACTGTCGGTCAGTTAGCATCACTGTCAGTCAGTTAGCAGCACTGTCGGTCGGTTAGCATCACTGTCGGTCAGTTAGCATCACTGTCGGTCGGTTAGCATCACTGTCAGTCAGTTAGCATCACTGTCAGTCAGTTAGCATCACTGTCGGTCGGTTAGCATCACTGTCGGTCAGTTAGCATCACTGTCGGTCGGTTAGCATCACTGTCAGTCAGTTAGCATCACTGTCGGTCAGTTAGCATCACTGTCAGTCAGTTAGCATCACTGTCGGTCAGTTAGCAGCACTGTCAGTCAGTTAGCATCACTGTCGGTCAGTTAGCATCACTGTCGGTCAGTTAGCATCACTGTTGGTCAGTTAGCATCACTGTCGGTCAGTTAGCATCACTGTCGGTCAGTTAGCATCACTGTCGGTCAGTTAGCATCACTGTCGGTCAGTTAGCATCACTGTCAGTCAGTTAGCATCACTGTCAGTCAGTTAGCATCACTGTCGGTCAGTTAGCATCACTGTCGGTCAGTTAGCAGCACTGTCAGTCAGTTAGCATCACTGTCGGTCAGTTAGCATCACTGTCGGTCGGTTAGCATCACTGTCAGTCAGTTAGCATCACTGTCAGTCAGTTAGCATCACTGTCGGTCAGTTAGCATCACTGTCGGTCAGTTAGCAGCACTGTCGGTCAGTTAGCATCACTGTCGGTCAGTTAGCATCACTGTCGGTCGGTTAGCATCACTGTCAGTCAGTTAGCATCACTGTCAGTCAGTTAGCATCACTGTCGGTCAGTTAGCATCACTGTCGGTCAGTTAGCATCACTGTCAGTCAGTTAGCATCACTGTCAGTCAGTTAGCATCACTGTCGGTCAGTTAGCATCACTGTCGGTCAGTTAGCATCACTGTCGGTCGGTTAGCATCACTGTCGGTCAGTTAGCATCACTGTCGGTCGGTTAGCATCACTGTCAGTCAGTTAGCAGCACTGTCGGTCGGTTAGCATCACTGTCGGTCAGTTAGCATCACTGTCAGTTAGCAGCACTGTCGGTCAGTTAGCAGCACTGTCGGTCAGTTAGCATCACTGTCGGTCGGTTAGCAGCACTGTCGGTCAGTTAGCATCACTGTCGGTCGGTTAGCATCACTGTCGGTCAGTTAGCATCACTGTCGGTCAGTTAGCATCACTGTCGGTCAGTTAGCATCACTGTCGGTCAGTTAGCATCACTGTCGGTCAGTTAGCATCACTGTCGGTCAGTTAGCATCACTGTCGGTCGGTTAGCATCACTGTCAGTCAGTTAGCATCACTGTCGGTCGGTTAGCATCACTGTCGGTCAGTTAGCATCACTGTCAGTTAGCATCACTGTCGGTCAGTTAGCATCACTGTCGGTCGGTTAGCATCACTGTCGGTCAGTTAGCATCACTGTCGGTCAGTTAGCATCACTGTCGGTCAGTTAGCATCACTGTCGGTCAGTTAGCAGCACTGTCGGTCAGTTAGCATCACTGTCGGTCAGTTAGCATCACTGTCGGTCGGTTAGCATCACTGTCGGTCGTTAGCATCACTGTCGGTCAGTTAGCATCACTGTCGGTCAGTTAGCATCACTGTCGGTCAGTTAGCATCACGTGTCGTGGTTAGCATCACTGTCGGTCAGTTAGCATCACTGTCGGTCAGTTAGCATCACTGTCGGTCAGTTAGCATCACTGTCGGTCAGTTAGCATCACTGTCGGTCAGTTAGCATCACTGTCGGTCAGTTAGCATCACTGTCGGTCAGTTAGCATCACTGTCGGTCAGTTAGCATCACTGTCGGTCAGTTAGCATCACTGTCGGTCAGTTAGCATCACTGTCGGTCAGTTAGCATCACTGTCGGTCGTTAGCATCACTGTCGGTCAGTTAGCATCACTGTCGGTCAGTTAGCATCACTGTCGGTCAGTTAGCAGCACTGTCGTCAGTTAGCATCACTGTCGGTCAGTTAGCATCACTGTCGGTCAGTTAGCATCACTGTCGGTCAGTTAGCATCACTGTCGGTCAGTTAGCATCACTGTCGGTCAGTTAGCAGCACTGTCGGTCAGTTAGCATCACTGTCGGTCAGTTAGCATCACTGTCGGTCAGTTAGCATCACTGTCGGTCAGTTAGCATCACTGTCGGTCAGTTAGCATCACTGTCGGTCAGTTAGCATCACTGTCGGTCAGTTAGCATCACTGTCGGTCAGTTAGCATCACTGTCGTCAGTTAGCATCACTGTCGGTCAGTTAGCATCACTGTCGGTCAGTTAGCATCACTGTCGGTCAGTTAGCATCACTGTCGGTCAGTTAGCATCACTGTCGGTCAGTTAGCATCACTGTCGGTCAGTTAGCATCACTGTCGGTCAGTTAGCATCACTGTCGGTCAGTTAGCATCACTGTCGGTCGGTTAGCATCACTGTCGGTCAGTTAGCATCACTGTCGGTCGGTTAGCATCACTGTCGGTCAGTTAGCAGCACACTGTCGGTCGGTTAGCATCACTGTCGGTCGGTTAGCATCACTGTCGGTCAGTTAGCATCACTGTCGGTCAGTTAGCATCACTGTCGGTCAGTTAGCATCACTGTCGGTCAGTTAGCATCACTGTCGGTCAGTTAGCATCACTGTCGGTCAGTTAGCATCACTGTCAGTCGGTTAGCATC